GTTCAAAAAATTATAAAATTAAAGAAATTTATATTATTATAGTAATAGTATAACTAATTAATGATGAAAAACTATAACTAAAATATAAAAATAATAATTATTTCAAGAGAATCTGAATAACTTTATATAATTTTGAATTAGTCATATCAAAGTAATAATCAAGATTATATTATTTTAAGTTAAAAAATAATAAAATCTATCTAAAGAATACAGATTAGCTTATTATATCCAAGAATAAAGCTTTAAAAATATAAATCTTGAAAGAATATTATAATATTTCTATCTCTGATTATCTTGAAATTGATAAAATTTATAAGTAATAATAATAATACTATTATTAGTCAAAAATATTCAAGAATATTTATAAATATATTCTTAATTATAAAGAATATTAAAGAAATAAAAGTAATAATTAATTACCTATAGATCTTCTACAACTCTTGAAAATATCTGAATAGCACTAAGAATAAATTATTTTGAATTTTATCATGTAATTATTTATAACTTGTCAAGAATATAATATAATTTTAATTATAGTGCTTATTATAAATAATGAGAATCAAGTTTTCTCTATAAAAAATAATTCAAATAAAATGAAATTTTTACCATACAATCTTTAATTATAAAAAAAATAAAGTTATCTAATATAATATAAGTAATTTTTATAATAGAATTTTTTGTAAATTTGATTTAAAAAGCAAAAAAAATTTTCTGAAAAAAATAGCTGTTTTTTTAAGTGCTGAAAGAATTTACTAGATTATTTTATTTTTATTTCTTAAGTAAATATATTCCTCTCCTAAAGATACATTAATATATCTATTTTTATAAAGTTTAAATATATATTCATCAAGATATCTGCAAATATATACAAAGTTTTCTATGAAAAATAAAATATCATTTTTTTGTAAATTTGATTAAATGTATTTTATTGAAAAAGATTCAAATTTTATAAAGATTTTAATATTAGTTTATTACTTATAGAAGAGTATATTTACCTAAAAAAGTATATTATAATAACCTAGTAAAATTTTCAGAAATTTATTAAATAATTTGATAAAATCATCAATTTTTTACTTCCTATTTTTAAATAAAATTTACTAAAAATTTTATTATACTAATTAATTTTATTGTTCTAAGTAAACTTATTCATTAGATATTTAAAAATATACAGTTAAAATTTCATTTCATTTAAATAATTTTTTATAAAGTTATAACCAATTAATCAATTCTCATTACTTATGATAAGCACTGTATTATAGATTATTTTACTAAATATACTTATTTTATTCCTATACATACTATTATTACTATATCTGAAGTTATCAAACTCTTTTTTAATAATATTTTTAAATTATATGAACTATCTTATATTATAATTTCAGATTGTGATGTCAAATTTACTAGTCATTTTTAAAAATCATTATTTGAATAAATTGAAATTAAATTGACTATATTAATTGTATTTCATCTACAAACTAATAGATAAACTAAGAGAATGAATTATATCTTGAAAGAAATATTAAGAATTTATTCTACTTATAATCAAGATCACTAAAATAAACATCTTGCTATTACTAAATTTGTATATAATAATTCTATTTAAGTTTCTTCTAATTATATATCCTTCAAGTTAGATTGTAATCAATATTTAATTATATTTGTAATACTTGGATAATAAAGTTACTGCTGCTAATGAATTTATTTAAAATTAAAATAATATGATAAAAGATGCTAAAGATTTATTAATAGAAATATAGAATTATTAATCTAAATACGCTAATTAATATTATTATTATCAAGAATTTAAAATTGAAGATCAAGTCTTACTTTTAATTCACAATATTATAGATCTTGTGAATAAATAATATTCTAGTAAAAAACTTATATCTAAATATATTAGTTCTTTTACTATTCTTGAAGCAATTTTATCTATCATATATATGCTAGATTTATCTTTGCATATGAAAATTCATCCTATCTTTCATATTTTATTATTAAAATTATATAATTCTAATAATAATAAAGAATTTATTTGTTTAATATCATCACAACTAATTATCATATCTGAAATTAATAAAGAAGAATTTGAAGTTGAAGCTATCCTAGATAAAAGAATTATTTATAATAAACTGTAATATTTAGTTAAATAACTAGATTATCCTCTTTATATTTTTACTTAAGAATCTTTAAAAAATCTTCATAATACTATTGAATTTCTGAAATTTTTTGAATTAAAGTATCAATAAGAATATTGATTCTTAAGAGAGAGATAATATAATAAATTATATTTTCTCTTATAGATTATTATTATATTATATACTATACTATATGTGATATTGTACTATAAAAATTATCTCATAAAATCACATAATATACTTGAACTATTTTAGTTATAAATAATTTTCTTAGTAAAATTTCTCTTTTCTTTTGTTTTATTAATTTAGTTAGCATATTACCATATTTATATATTTCATTTATAATTATTTATTTTTTATTTATTTATTAATAAATATCTTCTGAAGATACTATTATATAAGTATTATCTAATATTAATTTCTATTTATTATATTATTAATTCTATATAACATTAAATTATTATTTAAAGATACTATTTCTATTTTGTATTTTTAATAATAATTATATAATAATAAATAAGAAATAAGTTTTAAATATAATAATTTTGTTTGTCTTGAATTAGTTTTTTGTATAAATTCTATTTCAAAATTAATCATCATATATCTTGAATCTTCTGTGTAAATTTTCCTGATATATTATATAATATAATTAGAAAGATTATATATTTAATATTTAAATATAATATAAAAAGTATTATAACTTAAAAATAAATAATTTTAATAAAAATTTCTTTTATAAATTTATTATTTTTTGTTTAAGTTATAATTTTATTAAATCAGATTTTTTATTAATTATAATTTTAAAAATTTAGTATATTTTAAATTTTATATATATATAATTAAAAATTTAATATTTATTATATAAAAATAAATATTTATATATTTAAAAATTTTTTTAATTACTTTTAATTGATCAGTTTAATTATTATATAAGATTTATAATATTAAATTAATATTTTAATAAAATATTAAATATTTTATACTATTTCTTATTATAATAAAAAACTTAAAAAATTATTATAATTAAATTAATTATTATTTTATAAATTAATTTTAAGTAAACTTATTTATTAGTTATAAAATATATATATTTAAAAATTTTATATAATTTAAATAAATTTTTATTATATAATAAATAAAAAGATTAAGAATTTTAATTTTTTTATAATTAATTTTTTCAAAAAAAATTTAATAAAAAATATTATAAAAAATTTTATTAAGATAAAAATAAGTAATTATATATTTTAAGTAAATTTATTTACTAGATTATTATATATAAATATTTAAAATTTTATATAATTAAATAAATATTTATTAAATATAAATAAAAATAATAATTTTAGTTTTTTTATTATATATTATTTATATTATTATTAATATTCAATTCTAAATTTAATTTTATTTTAATTCAAATTTTAATTTATTAATTTTAATAAGCTTAATTATTTTTTTATTATTAAATAAATTCAAGTAATTTATACTTAATGATAATATAATCAAATATTAAGATCTTTAAATTTCTAAAACTTTTTATATAAATATTATTTTAAAATCTGATTAGTAATTTTATAAAACTTATAATAAAGAATAAAATTACTAGTCAGATTTTAAAAATAATATCTATATAAAAAGTTTTAGAAATTTAAAAATTCTAATTTTTATTATATAATTATTAAATATAGCTTATCTAAACTATATAATTTTTATTATTAATTCTAAAAGATTATATATTATTTCTAAAGATGAATTTTATTAGCTTTAATTTATAAATATAATTAAGAATAAGTTTGAATTATTTATAAATAGAATAATATTTAATTATTTTAAAAACTTTTTATATTAATATTTATAATATTATATAATTATAAAAAGATAATTATAACTAAAGCTATTAAATAATATTAATTTGATCTTTTTTCTTTTATTTTAGAAAAAGATTACTAAAAATTATATATAAAGTATATGAATCTTTTTAAATTAATAAATTAATACACATATTTAAAGCTATAAAGCACAGCTATTAATGCTGAAATATAATTCATTATATAAAATATAAAAATTGAAGGATTCAAACATTATTTCAGGTCTCAAAGCACTTTTATTTATATATCTTTTGGTTAATTAAATGTTAAAAAAAATTTTAAAATTATCATTCTCAAAATAAAATTAAATTGTTAAAATAAGTTTACTAATTAAACTTTTGAGAATAAATTTTTAAAAATCAAAATATGATTATTAATTTACATGTATATCTTGAAAATATAGCATAATATAAAGAAAATGGATTGGATAAATTTGTATAAATTGTGAAATTAAAAAAATTAATGTTACTTTGGTGACAGATCAAATGTCATTAAGAAAATGTGTAGTGATTGATATAATTATTGTGCATGATACTTTTTGATATCTGACTTCTTTATACTATCCAACTTCGTCATAATGCCATCTTCGCCACAGCCTTATGCAGATCATACATATTCTTTGTGGCTTCCTTTTTTATGTCATTAACGTTAATAATCACAGGTGATTGCATGTAAAATTTCTTTGGTCATTGTATTCCAAATATGTAATATGATTTAAAATATATTTGCTGTGAAAGTGATCTCGGAAAATTAGACAAAAAAAATATTGTTTCAAGATGCTGTATATGTTTAGGACAAATCGTGTTCTGGTAAGGTGAGGTTAAGTTCTATTTGGATAATCTTATTATATCTTTAATGACTATTAATATATTTTTTCTAGTACAAGGAACCTAAAAAGTTCCGTATCATAAGATTAATAACGGCCACGATAGTATTCGTTATGTTCTCGTCATACATTTCATTCCTGTGTTTTCAAATTTGGACTGACAAAGCAGTGATCCAAATGACAAATGAGAAATTGTCCGCTATTGAAGTGCCAGGTGAGTAATTGAATCAATTAAAGTCAATACGAGCAGAATATTAGATTTTTTTTCTTCCTGTTCCTATAATAGACATAGAAATTTGTGGCTATGGAAGTGATGTTGAAATCATTCGATGCGTTTTCACGATGAAAGATCGGACGAGTGAGATCCATCCTGGTTGTGCCTCATTTTTATATCGAAAACCTCTAGTGGGCAAAAGTTATTGTTATGTATTCATGGGAAATCATACACTTCACTTCTCAGATGAGAATGACGATAATCTAAATGAACTATTGGTTTATTTCAAGATTTTGGATTTAGCCGGAGCTGAAAACGTTTCATCAAGTGTTCCAGCTGTAGCGGTAAAGCATCTTTTCATTATACTGCACTGTTTTTATTTTTACGATTAAATAAATTAATTACCTTTACATGTACATGTATTGTGTGTTAAGGTTACACTGTTAGATCCATCTTTTGACCCACTCACGGGTAAAGTTCGTGAAAGTAATATGGTAATTTAATTTATCATTATTTTATTATATTAACTGCAATTGAGTCTCAAAACATTTATCTTAGGGAAGAACAGCAGAAAATGATCTTCGACTTCAATTAAACAATTTCGCTGGAATTCAAAACTACACAACACACGTAAGAATCTTTGTTCAAAACGGCCATCATTAAATTGATTAATCACACATATTTGTTTTAGGTTAAAATGACAAAGTCAGTATATCGAGAAATTCCTAATAGAGATTTCAAGAGCATACTTGGCATCACGCCAAATTATTTAAATATTACGACCATAACTGCTCACTCGCAATATTTCCCGTTACATAATAATCCTAACTTCACTGCCGACACAGACACTGGATTTTTCCAATTATTAATCGGAAGTTATTTACTGGAGGTTCGAACAGAGATACGGTAAATATCAGTTTTCTTTTATATATATACATATACAGTATATATCGAATTAATATTGAATAATATTATTAGAATGCGAAGCTTCCTTAGTATTCTTGGAGTTGCTGGTGGCGGCTTTAGTAGGTATTGAATTTCACTTATTTTATGATTCTACAAAGAATTAAGACATATATTTTCATTATTTTAGGCGCTATTTGTATAATATCTTTGCTTTTATTTGGCAATAGAAAAACGCGTCCATGGTATGTATATGTATTATTCTTTTTTCGCACGAATACGTAGTCGTCTATATTACAAACTCCTCTAAAATTTCCATAACATAATAGGGGATTAATGTACTTTCTGATAAGATCGGAAGTAGAACGATTTTCTCAGATGGACATTGTTCCTTTTTTACACGATAACGATATGAACGACGTAAATAAGTCTTTATCTCATGAACAAAGAATTGAACGATTGGAAGAACGTTTCAAAGAACTAGAAGGTTTATTGAGTGACTATTTTTTGGACATCACGCCATCGAAAAGTTTTAAAGAGAAACATGCAAAGAATGAAAAGTTTTAAAATGTTCAATGTTATACGCCACTTATTCACGACAGCAATATAGTAATGGGAAATATCACACAGCAAGTTAGTTATCTGCGAAGTTTTTATGACAAACTTTATCAAGTTCAAAAAAATGTTATGCCATCAGCCATAGATTGACCAACGTAAAATACTGTAAATTACAAACAAAATACAGCGAATAGCGCCTTAAGTTTTAAATGGATCAAATTAACAAGTAATTCCGAAACGCGAGACATAAAAATAAAATTTATGAAAGTTAAATATGCTTTTTTATAATAAATATAATTTTAATATAAATTTAATAACTACATGTTATGTATACAAGTGAGAACAATCCGATATTTGATTGGGGGAATAATTTCAGGTCCCTACATTGGCTAGTACCATATGCATCACGTGAATAATAATCTCATGTACCTCTATAATAAATGTATATGACCCAACCCATAGGAGTATGTTAGATAAAGGTTAATGTTGAGGATAATAACTCTATTTAGTAAATTGTTCTCTCAGTGTAATTTATGCATCACGTGAATAATAATCTCGGGGAATACCTCTATAATAAACGTATATGACCCATAGGAGTATGTTAGATAAAGGTTAATGTTGAGGATAAGATTAGTATTAACTCTATTTAGAAAATCGTTCTCTCAGTGTAATTGTTAAATTGCTGGAATTGAACTTTGCCGAGCAATAATCGACTATCGAATGACAGAATGACGCCAAGTCGGCTTATAATCGTAAGAGTTGGGCAAGGATAAAGACAGTAAAAATCACAGGAACCAAGGGAATCATTTTTAAATTAAAGGAGTATACGATCTTTATTAATTTTATAGAATGCGTGCTCTTTTTGAGTGCGAATTGTGTTTTTGATTTCTTGATTTTTAAGAGTTTGAAGAAGTTGCGTTCTTATAGATGCGAAAAATAACCTATCCTAATACATATCGTTATATAATATACATGTGTACTTGTCATACATCTTCGATAATATATCGATATGTATAATAATTGATTATTAATTTTTGATTACAAAAGATCGATCATTTTAACTTTAACAAGATATACCGAAACAAAGCGTTTCCAAATTAAGGGGCTACGTGCTTTTTATGTTATAGCATCTATCTATCTATAGCATTCCAGGTATGTAATTATAAGTGAACCGATATTTACAAAACCAATCCTTTACGATAAATTTCTAACCGAAAGCATAAATTCTCAGCCGAACGGCTAATCTGATGAATGAAGTCATTAACAGCGGTTTGAAACGGGAAAATAATAAGAATTACATCATGTGTGGTGAATCGATAGACATATTAATAAAGCTTCTTGATTTATATTGCCTTTTTCGTGCCATTTTCAATGAGATATATCGATATCGCATCTTAATTTAGCTTTTTCTAAAAATTCAAGTTTATGTTTATTTCGTACTTAGTAACTAAAACTTTTTCGGATTATTCTCCACAACGATCATTATTTGAGTTTGTTTCAGCATGCCGTCGACAAATTCTCGATAATTGTCTTTGGAGATTGCCTTTTATGCATTCTTCACACAGCATTCAAGTTCAACAAGATTTCCTTTTGTTATTAACATTTTGTTTGACTTCAGCCAAAAACGTTTCATTTACATTGACAACAATTAGATGCTATGTAAAGTTGTGCATCAATTAGCTTTTTATTTGTTTCATTGCGAAAAAGAAAACCGGAATTAAGTCGTAGGGATATCAAAAACACACGAACACTGGCTATAACAGAACTTTAAAAATGCTTGAATTTGTTATAGATTCGTTATACAAAACATAGTGCATGTAAAATTCCTATAACGAATTTTTTGCTAATAGTTATAAACAGTAGTGAATGCTGTAAACTGATTGTAATACTTTTTGAATCTGATTAACTAATAAATCTAAATTATCTTGAATGTTATTTCCCTTCTTAAAAATTTAGAGCAATGTAAATTTGTTACAAATATCTTATGAATTTTTCTAAATTACTAAATATTTTACTTGATAATATCATAATCTTTAGAATTGTATTAAATTATATATACAATGATTTAAATTCTTGAGAAGTTTAGGTTTCAAACAAAAAAGAATAAAAAATTATAAAGTTGTTTTTGAAAAAATTGAGTTTAAAAAATTATAAATTTTTCATTAAAATGACAATTATACAGTGATAATAAAGATAATATAATTCTTGAATTTTTACTAATTGTAATATTTTTTTCATTATATATATAAGTATCTATTATTAAATATTTTTATTAGCTCAAAATAAAGCTAATTATATATATATATATATAAAGCTAATTAATTTTTACTAATTTTATTAATAAAAATTTATTACTTTATATTTAATTAAAATACTCTTTTAAAAAAATTCAAAAAATGATATAAGATAGAACTCTAACTTTATTTTGAGCTAAAAATGAAAACTTTTATATAAATAAAAAATATATAATTTATTAATTACAATTAATAAAAAATAAATATTATATTATTTTAATTGTATTTTATAATTTTCAATTATTATTTGAAAATTTTATATATTTATTAAATAAATAATATTATAATATTAAAATCTATTTTTAATGAAAATTTTATTAATAAATTCATTATTAAATGATATTAAAAATTCTAATTTTTGAGTCAAATTTTTTTAATATTTAATAATAATTATTAATAAAATTTTATTATTTATTAACAAATTTAATATTTAAAATTAATTTGCTTAATAAAAAGTTTTTTTATAGCTATATTATAAATCTGAAATTTGAAAATTCAATAAATTAATATAATTTTAATTTATTAAGAAATATATATTTATTTTTATTAAGAATTATTATAAAATTTTTATGCTTTTTATTATTTATTTTAAAAGCTTAATATTATTATAATTAAACTTTTTTGTTTTTTAAAATATTTTTAAAAAATTTACAGTTTATTTAGAAAATATTAAGTAATTTTCAAATATTGTATTTTTATAATAAAGTTAATTATTATAGCTTTACAAGATATTTTATATTATATTAAAAATGTATATTTAAATATAAATAATTATTTATTATATTAATAATATTACAAAAATATATTCTAATATAAACTTTATAATTTTATATAATTATTATAATTATTTTAATAAAAAAAGAAATTATTATAATTATTTTAATAAAAAAAGAAATTATTATAACTATAATATATATTATTTATTTTTATTTAAAAACAATAAGATATTATTATAGAAATTATTTTATAATATTATAATTTGATATAAATATTCTTATATTTATAATTATAAATCAAATTAAATATACATGGCGACCAAAAGTAATAACTCAGGGGCTAAATTTACTAATAAAATATAGTGAAAATTAAAATTTTCTTTCTATATTAAAATTTATAATTTTAATAAGAAATAATTTTTATTTT